ACACACACACACACACACACACACACACACACACACACACACACACAGAGCTCGTGAGCACACATGCGACGATACAGCCAGAGAAAACGCTCAGAGATGCTCTGAACAGCACGTAAGGCACACACATGGTCCCAGACAAAGCTTAGTTGGAGCCAACACAGGGAAAGACTCTCGGCCCCAGACGGCGCCTTGCCCGTCCACAGGACAGAACACCCCGAGAAGCACACACAAGCCTCCCCACCCCAGAGAAGTACGCACACATGTACAAACACCAGCTCGTAAGGCACAGAGCCAGACAGCACCCGTCCTGTCCAAGGAAGTACAGAACACGCCCAGAGGCACACACAAGCCCCCCCCCCATACACATGCACACATGCCCCAGGATTCCACCGACTTGGACATTGCCGCGCCACATTCTCAGACCCAGAGACACACCCAGAGGTCTCCAGACACAACACAGGCAGGAACACCACACCTTTGGGGACACAACCATCAGACTCTACACACTTAGAGACAAGCACCCTTGTGACACAGGCCTGATGTCTTTGAGGCTGCAGGGCCAAGGCCTCCTGCAGAGTCGTGACAAACTCCCCCACCCAGCAGCAGCCCTGGCGACGGCCATTCAGTCCCCAGCCTCCATCCTCATGGTCAGAGGCGGCTCAGGGGCCTCTTTCACCTGGACCTCGACAGGAAGAGGGCCAGGCCCAGGGCTCAGGTCTCCTGATCTCACCTGATTGAGATGTCCCTGAAAGCTGAGCTCAAAATCAGAAAGAGCTCCCTCCCTCTGACACCTCCTGGCTGGGTGATCCTGCCCAAGGCAGAGAAGGCACCGACCAGCACTGATGGAGTGACTTTCTGCACCAAGTGTTCCCTATTCCAAAGAAGTCATAAATCTAGCACTGCACCACCCCCAGGCCCCCAAATGTCCAGGTGAAGTTCTGAAATAATTAGGAGGTAGCCAGGCTTTACCACTTAGGACTGGTTTCCTACCACAGGACAGGGAGCCCATGGCCCTCCATGCCCCAGGCATGTGTCCAGAAACCCACAGTGTGGGGAGGGTGCAGAAGTTTGTAGCTGAGAGCTTGCTAGGACACAAAACGACCCTGGAGTCCAGTCCCCCTCCTTTTACAGAAGGGGAAGCTGGCCCAAACGGGGGAAGGGACTTGGCACACGTCACAAAGTCAGAATTTGAACCCACGTCTCCAGACTCCATATCTAGGGGTCCTGTGGCTGCTCCAGCCCCATGATGCCTCTGGGTGGGAATGCCAATGAGGAGGGTGCCCCAGGCCAGGGAGCCTGGTGCCAGGAGGCTCCTCAACCCCAAAGGCAGCAGGAGGAAAAAGAAACAAGGTCATCTCTGCCCTGCAGATGCTCAAGAGCATCGTGGGGGAGCCTCAGGGCAAGGAGGACTTTCTAGGTATTGGGAAATTGTATGAGAAGACCCGTGGCTGGTCATCAGTGGCAAGGCTCAGGCTTAAGACCCAGCCTCTTACCTCCCAGCCTCAGGCCATTCATTCCCTGCCCAGCTGGACCTTACTGAAGTGCCTGCCCCCCAGGAGGCTGGAGGAACCACCCCCAAACCCCTGAAGCTACCATGAAGTCCATTGGCCTGGGAAGCCCAAGGATGACCCAGACTGCCTGCATTACTAGGTCCAGACCCAAGCCCATGCCAGGCTCACCCGCTCTCCCAGGTGGGCATTTCTAGAAAGCTTTCATTGTTTGAATCAGCTCACAGCCTTCTTATGTACAGAGAACTGCTGAGTGATTGATCAGGTGCCCGGAGATGGGGCCTTGGCCCAGAGCTAACCCTCTGCCGGTCACATGCTGTCCTCCATCTGGAGTAAGCAGTAATCACTGAGGAAGAAAGCTGTTCTCCCCAGGCCCTTGCCAGGTCCAGGCTCAGCTGGACGGGGGGGGGGGGGGGGGGGG